CCTCATCCTGCTCATCGCATGACGTGCACACACCTGCACCTTTCCTCTGAGAGCCAGACTGGAACCAGCTATTATCTTAGTCTCTGAAAACAAACATGCCTATTATGGTCTAAAATTAGGATTCTTTTCCTTCCCTTCCACCTTTCACAGCCGTCATAAACTGACCAACAGGGAGACTGCTGAAATTCAGTAAGTTTCTGTTTACGTTCAGGCCAGGTCTGGTTTTAGTGTTCTTTTTAACTGGAAAAGAGAGGTTTAACTACCCATTCCCATGCTGCTAAGTTTAGGGCACAGCCTAAATGTGGCTGTGTTATATGTGGCTGTGGCAAGATGGGCACAAACACACACTGTTTGAATAGGAATTTTTCCATGAATGAATCAGCTAGGACTCAGTTTCTACTTTCTTTAGATAGGAAAATATTTGACTGTAAGTCTGATGGAACCCCTCTATCTTCTCAGATTATATACATACATGAAAAAAATGTTATCATAATACAGATACTGAGACTAAACCAAACATTGTTCACAGCTGGCTTGAGTGGTGGAAATTCCTCAAAATCAGCTCAGAGCTTGTCTTGACTTTGAAGGGCTCTGACCAGGTCCATATTAGGTGTAGCAGGCCCCTTAGATTTATCTATTGGTGCAGTTAGCAGTCTGTTTATGCAAATCCTAAGTGTTTTCTGAGTAATACGAATCTTTGCATTTTGTACAGCTCACCTGCTCTTCTGGAGCATTAAGTCTTCAACTTTGTTATTCCAACACATGGCATAGAAGAGAGAGCAGATGAGAAAGGATGAGAAGTGAAACAAGTGCAGACAAGAGAGAAGTGGAGGTAGAAGTCAAAACCAGGAGGAGAATGGGGAAGACAAGAAACCTCACATCCTGGAGATGACCTGGTATAAGCATGGTTTACGTATTGTTAAAGGGCAAAAGCAAGAAACGAAAGCAGGAAGACAAAAATGAGTGCCAAGATGGCAGCTCATGCCCTAGTGTGCAAATTTCTGTGTTTGTATTGTGCAGTGGGTGCTGGGAGGGCCAAGCAGGAAGCAGGAGGAGAAGAGGAAAACCGAAACCACCTGCAGAGAATCTGTCCCCCCCATCTCTCAGTTCCCCCTGTGCTCTCCCAGCCCTCACACAGCTGCTACTGGCTCTGAGTCACCAGTATAAGCAGTACATCTTTTCTGTGCGCTGACTTTTTGCTGGCAGCTGATGTGCTCTGTGCAGGATCCTACCCCATCTCCAGCTCTGACCTAGTAACTAATGGGGTATAATGGTGTGAAAGATGTGGATGGGTACTTGTGCCAGGATGTCCTGCTGGTGCCCGCTGTGTGCCAGGGGGTTCAGCCAGGGGCTGATCTGTTTGAGATAGGAGGAGCGAGGAAGCTGACAGGACCACATGGTCTGCTGAAGAGGAAACCTTGCTGCAAAGCATTTCTTGCAGCGTACTTGAGCAATTCTGACTTAGAGATTTTTGACTGCATTGGATTAGCAAATTGTTTAGGGATCTGGGGCAAACCAGTAAAACAGGATGATGAATCTGTGCGGTAGGTGCCAATCTGGGTTGCTGCCTTTTTCAGAAGTAAACAACTAGCAACCATTGTTCATCTTTCTGACTCTCTGCAGGACACAAGCTGTAAATTACATCTGGGAACAAAAGGCTGATGGGAGTAGAACCGGGTGCCCAACTTCCCAAGGGAGTGCTTTGCCCTCCAGCCAAAAGAGTAGCTTTTCTGGCTCAGGCTAGCACAGGCTCCTCTTCTGCCTTCCCAACAGCACTCAGAGCCCAGGAAGTGTGCAGTACAGGATTTACTACACTGAAGCATTTACAACCATTTCCATTACAAAACCTGGTTTCAGGGTTGATTGTGAAAATTAAATCCAGTCTGAAATGTGGCAAACAAGATTGCAGTCTGGGGACACAGGAGGAAATCTTATTAAAAATGCCATATCTTATTGAGATCCTAGTTACGTGGGTATAAAATCCTCCTTCCACTCCCAAACTGTCTTACAGCCAGACCAACTGTAGTCTATGCTGAATGTTTGCTGCCATGAACAGAATTATCTAATGAGATTTTTTGTACTTTTTATTCTTACCAAGATTATATTCTTCAGGTCCCTACGATAATTGGATTTTCCCCATGATTTGAAATTTTCGTAAAAATAGATTCAAAAAAGAATTCTTTATTAAAAATATTCCTTCACCTGAAAATAGAAAAAAAAGTTTTCAAATTAAGAACATTCTTTTTTCACGTTTTTGAAAAAAAAAAAAAAAAAAAAAAGGCAAGTGATTTTGACAGAAATAAAATTTCTTTCTTCCCCCTGTTTCAGTTGTTCCAATTTAGTAAAGAAACTGTTCTCCACTGATCTCATTTACTTCATAAGTTCAGGTATTTTCATTTGATAATCTGTATATATGATAAAATCCAAATAAATATATAGGGAAATGTTGCCCTACTGAATTCAGTGGAATTTTGATGTTTGACTTCAGCTGGACCAGAATTTCATCCTCTAAGGGAATTCCAGCAAAAAATGTATCTTTATATTGCTGTGAGCCACACGTTCCTTTTCAGGGGCTCCAAACCATGCACTCCCTAATAGGATTTTTATCAAAATTAATTGGTACTGGCTGCAGTTCACATGTGTGATAAAATCATGAATTGGTGCTCCTGTACTTGATAGCGCCATTGTGGACACAGTATCTGCTGTGTCAAAGACTTCTGAACAAGGCAATTTTTTTAAAGTTGTGGTTTTGTTATTTTAGTAGTTGGATTTGTTGATTGATTCTCCTTTGAAAATCCACCAAGTTCATTTGGTGCCACTTAATATTTTATAATTTTTTGGTGTCAATAATTTAAGTCATTGCGGCCAAAGCTAAGGGCGTTGTTAACAATACTGTCAGGGGAACAGATTCTCAATTGAAATGAACTGATGGCCTCAACTTGAAGCAATGCTCTGCTACATTTCCTCAGCTGAAGAGCTGCTTCAAGATTTTCATGCTTCCTAGGATTATCTCAAGCTAAACCAGAACTTATTTATTTCTCTATGAAAAATTGTATGTCCTATACATTTTCCAGAGATGAACATTGCCTTTGACTTAATTTTCTGGGTAGCATCAGGCCCTGCACCCAGGCCAAATATGGATTGCTGCCTACCTCAGGCCAACATATTTTAAGGAAGAAATTCCATGTTTGGGTGGGAACTAAGGAAATATTTTCATGTCAGGCTTTTTATTTATTTGTTAGTGGCAGCACTTTGAAGTGCTCAAGGATCTGGAATGCAGGTCTGTGTCCTAGACTGGTGTGTATGCAAGCAGATGGCATGTGAAATGGCCAGGCTGACTTGGGATGTATTCATTATTCTTTCTGTGGTTTATCACATGAAATGATGTACTGTGATGAATTATTCTTGTATACATCTGTCTTTTCCACTTGTATTATGCACTAGAACATCTATGCACCTGATCTAAACATGCCTAATCTTTGCCCAATTGCAGCAAAAAAAAAAGAGACAGGTATTTTGAAGTGGAATATCACTACTCCCAGCAAACACATGCAGGAGTATTGAGATGTCTAAAATAAGTATCAAAAAATTGAGAAAAAGACCTGGTGATAATCTGATGTCAGAAGAGAAGGAATGAGAAACTTCAGTCCATGGAGAGAGTAGGAATTTCCACTGCTGGTAAAATAAGAGTGTTGTTTCTGTAACTCCAATATCCCTGAAGTGAACATTATTCTCCACTTACCCATGGTAAAGAAAACATGTTTTGTTTTGTTGTTATTGTTCCATTTAAATTGGAATACAGGACATTAACAGAGTGGTATTTTATGTTTATCCAAAAAGAAACCAAAACAAACAAACATTAGTCAAAAATATCCAAATTTTATTTAAATATTCAATTCCTTTGTCTCATGCATGGCGTGAATTTCAAAAGAAGTTTATCAGTTGAAGAAATTTCCTTTGTAGATCCTCAGTAAATTATAACAGGCCTTAACTGTGTACCAGAATTTTAAATCCCACTAAGCTTCATTCATTCATTCATAAAGTTAGATGTCTGCACATATGTATAAATATACAGGGATTCACAGAACTATTTTCACTCCTACAAACAGTAAGTTACATAGGAGGTAATTTTTGCTCTGCTCTTAAAAACATTTGTTTCAAAAGAAAAAGCAACATATTCACAAAACAGTATGTTTAATCTGTAACTTCAAAGTTGCTAGTTTCTTAATAAAAAGATCCTCTGGGTTTAAGGAAAAATTTTCACTTTAACCTTGTCCCATCAGATATCCCAGACCTGTAGGAAAGCCTGTTGGAACCTGTTGCTCAGGAGCCAGCTGACGGAGGAAGGGATGCCAGCCATCTTTAAGTCAAAAGTCAAAGGAAAGGCAAAGTATGAAGTTCTTGTGCCCGTGTCTGGAAAGACCTGTCTGTATTTTTCCACTGTTTGGTGTTAGATGAGATTAAAAACTAATGAGAAAATTATTTACAGCAGAAGCATCGACACCGTGGTAATCTGATACAGAACTTTTCACTTTGAATTTGCTGAGTGAAACTGAAACTGGGGAAGTACCATCTGCCTGCCCTGTCGGCTTCTATAGGTGGGATGTGCCCGGCTGGGTGAGCCCTCGCAGCCCCAAGTGCCACCCCACAAAGCACCTCATGACTGCTGAGGAGAGACACTGTGAGATCACCAGGGTGTGCAATAGACATGTCTCTCTCTTATCTGCAGGAGCTTTGAGGTTTTCACCAAGGATTTCATGTGGTGTCTTTTGCTAACTGTGGAGTCCCAAAGAGCCCCACACACTCTGTGTCTCCCTTGGGAAGCATGACTTCCACTGCATGCCAAAGACTGCTACGTGCTCTCATCCTGTTCCTCTGCCTTGTGAATTGGGAAGAGGAGGAACGACTCCTTCCCTATGTTGTACCATCAATACAATAAAGCACTGACCTTGATCCTCGGTCCTGGCACTGAGTAGTTACCTACCTGCTGTTGGAGCACAGGGTGGAACAGGCTGCAGGCGACGGAGCCGCCTCGACTTACTTGCTGTGTGGGGATATCCTCCGGCTGTGAGCAGGAGCATCTCAGGAGAGCCCGTGGCAGAGCAGGTATTTTTGCTTGCCCTAAATTTTACTGCAGAGTGAGAGTATGATGAGATGGGACAAAATTAGCGAAAATATTTTGGAGAAACATCCAGGCAGTTGTAGGTGTTTAGCTGGGTTCTCAAAGCTGTATTGCTTTAAGTTTGCTTAGTTTACATTAATAAGATTGTAAAAGGCAGGAGGGGGAGCTTACAACAGTCAGTGACTTCCTGAGCTTCCTCATGAGAAATTACACACATTTTTCTGCAAGCACGACAGCTACAACTTTTGCCTGTACTTGTGTAAGAAAAGGCTTAGCGCCTCTTTAAAACTCGTGTGTCTGCTTAGTCAGAACTCACGGCCCCCCCCGCGGCCCCCCCTGCCCTGCTCCGTAACTTTTGTTGCAATATGGGGTGTGACTTTTGATGGAGCTCCCCCTCCCAGTTATGTCATTACTTCAGTTCCTTTGAATCAGAATAAAAAGTGCAGCAAACTTCAGACTCATTGACTGCAGGCTTAACAGGCGCTGGGGCTTTTCTTCCTTCTGCAGCTTGCGAGGATCTCTGTTTTTTTGCAAAGCAGTTCTGAGGAAACAATGGCCAACTTCTACTTATGGGCAACTTTTGGATTATGCTTGCTGAAGCTTTGTCTAACAGAGACACGTAAGTTTTTTTATGAATGAAGCTTTTTATGATTGCTGATAAGTTCGTGCTTCAGACAGCAACAGTTCTGCTGCTGTATAGCTAACAGCTTTCTTGCATTTGTCTTTGTATAAACTGTTACTTGCAGGACTTATTGGAGATGCTTTTGAATTGTAACCTGGGCTGTGCTGTTCTGTGCAACCAGGGAAAGCTGATGTACTGCTTGTAAATGACAATTCCAGATCCATAAAAGGGGAGTCGTAGAGCATTAACGTTTAAATTAAGAGCAGAAGTATGCTTGGGAATCTGGAATAGTTCTGGTAAATCTGTGTTCAACAACATTACACCCTTGGTTTGCTCTCCCAGCACTCTTGGAAGTTGGGGTGAGGGAACCCCGCTCAGCATACAGCAGCTGTATTCCTGAGCTGAAGGGATTGAACTAACAGCTAATGCAGTCTGAGTTTGGACACAGCCTGGAAAACAGAAACACAACTGCAGTGATCAGTGTGATTGAAATTTACAGAGCTTTTCTGCTGAGCATGCCTGTTTCTGACTTCTTAAGTTTTCTTTGGGGCTGACTGGTGAGAGTTTGAAACAAAGGGCGTCAGGAGTGCCCACAAAATTGATTGTGTGTCAATCAGCTTTCTGTGGCTTGGTTGTCTGCTTCTCATATTTGTATTTATAAAGGTTCATATGGAGAAAGAAATAATAGCTGTGGTCCAAAACAGCAAAATGCTCTAGAAATTTGATGTGGTGCAGGCTCAGCAGTGTCCAAGGAAAATAGCCATGCTTTTAACAGACTCTCACTGTGACAGAAACTGCCTTGAGGCACTCTGTGGTCAGGGCAACAATTATCCTTCTACATTATTTTTTCCACTCCTCAGTTCCAGAAATCTAACAAAGTACATTTTTCATTGCCATTGTCACCCAAGGGCTGTGTTTGTGCGTATGGTACATATATATATCATTTGTTTGAGCAGCAGTGAATACTTCTGTAATGGTGGCAGTGCTGCCGGGCTGTGAATGGGTGTGTCGGAGTGAACAGTTCCCGGCACATCTGGGATAGCAGGAGAACCTTCCCTGCTCTCCTGCCTATGAATTGTCTGCCCACTGTTCCAAAGTGCGCTTGTTACAATCAGGTATATAGATGCAGTCTATAGAGAAAGAGCAGGAGTACTGCGTGAGAGGAGTATCCAAGACAAGACTTTGGCTTACTCCGAGTCTGTTTGCTGTATGAGAATTACAGTGTTTTGGTTACCCACCTGCTCAACTGATTTCTCCTTTTATGAGCTGCCAGGAGCGTCCTAAAAAAGTGGGGTCTGTACTGGTTCGGGGAGTCATGCAATTTTGCGGTGAGGCATGGAAGAAAAGCTCACCGTCTACTCTTCAGCGTAGTTGCAAAAAGTATGTCAGACTGCATGTATGCCCCACGGGGAAGTTTCTTTAATGGCTTAGCAAGGTATTAGATTATAGCTACAATATATTTTAGTTGGTATGCAGTGCATTCCAGCATGACTTTGTAGTCAGTAATGACTTCAAAACGGCAGTTAATGGTAGTTTTATTTTCTTTTTTTAAACCAATGACTTTGCTGTGCATCACAGGGTACTGGTCATAGCTGTTGATTACACTGTTAGTACTGAATGTGGCAAAAATGGAAACAGCCTGAGCTTACTGTTAATGTGACTGCTAAAGGAAAGATGAGATATAGAAAATCTGATTCATCCTGAGTTCAGTGCTGTTGTGACCATTCTGTCACTGTTATGTGAGGGAGGGGTACTTGTGGTATTGAGATGATTTCTCTTGTCCGATGAGTTTGAGCCACATTTCATAGGCCAGGAGAGTTTAGGTGCAGACAGATTGGTTAATGACAGCTCTGAGGGGAGATTTTCCCTTGTGGACATGATGTATTCGTAAAAGCATTTCTCTCATGGTTTTCCTTGATTAACAAGAAGTGAACTGTAGAATTTTGACCCCCTAAACTGGAAGAAGCTGAAACAAAAGTAGGAGCAAAGATGAAGTGCAAAGGGAGAGAATGAGTCTACCAGTGGAGGGAGGGATTCTCTGTTGGCACCCAAGATGTGCCAGAGCTGCAGGATAGGGCTCTGAGAAAGGGCTCCTCAAGTTATCAGTCAATCGCAGAGGAAGCCTTTTAGCTTACATGTGTCATGGTAATCTGCAAATGAAGTGGATTAAATAAGCTATTTGCACTTCTTTGTGCTTTTTATTCACTTGTGTGTGTGTTGGCTATTCTCCCAAAGTTGCCAAGAAACTTGAATGAAGTTCGCTTTGACTTCCATCATTGTTTTTGTTAATGGAAAGGTTATATGTCTGCCCTTGAACTGCTCTCACACAAAGAGCCAACAATCCATGGCAGAAGATTGTCTTGCTATCTTTGGAGAAATATTTGTTGCTTCTTTAGTTCTTGGTGTTCACCACAACGCAGAGCCATTACCTTGAAAACAGGAAGAGAAAGGCTTAATGAGAGAAGATAGCATCGTACAAGTGAGGAGAACTTCTTTAACTAAATGCTTTTAAAACCACTGGTAGCTCAAGCCAAGATGAAATGAAACGTTCTCCCATACCTGGCGTGTCTTTCTTTCCAGAACTGTTCCCATGCCTTTCATAGGCCAAGGAAGGCCTGTACTTGAAGGCTGTACAAATACTGTGGTAATTTATCTAGTACCTAAACATGCATGAGGTTCGACTGCAGCAAGAATGTGCTAGCAGCATGAGATGTCCTCAGCTGCTGATGGACAAGTATAAACAGTAAAGCATGAGCTCATTGCTGCTAAAATACTTGATATTGTAGAAAAGAAGTAAAAAAAGGAGTAAAAAAATTGTTTTTATTAATGGACAGCAGCAAAAGCATTTCAAATGAAAGAACGTGGAAAAAAGCAGAAAAAAATACAGTGAGAAAAAATGATGAGGATCTCAAAGTGATATTTGGTTGCATGGTCAGGAGCACAATGGATTTGTGAATAAACTAAAATTGGTTATATAGACATCATAAGCCTTGAAGAATTTTAACTTAGAGAAGAAATCTGAAAAGTATCTAGGCAGGAAACTAGTGTAAACCTCTGCAAAGATTTCCACTAATTTAGAAACCAACTGTAAGCTGTGGGGAAAAATAAGAAATTAGTAATAAATCAAGATTGCAGTAGCCATCAAGTTAACCTATAATAGGAATGGAGTATATAGATGTGTGAAAAGTTAGAATAAGTAAAATCTGTACTTTTCATATGGCAGAGGAAAATATGGAGGTGAAATCTGTGAGATATGTGTTAATTAAAAAGAAAAGGAGAATCGATTAAAATATGACAATGCTCTTGCCAAAGAAAAGGTGGTATTCAGAGGGAACAGCTAAAAAGCAATGATAATTAGGTTTGAAAATAGGTTGCTAAGAGATATTTTTTCTAATAAGTGATTACATAAAGAGATTGGATAAATGCCTTAAAAGGACAGTTTGGATGTTGGTGATCGTGCTCCTGGGTAAGAAGATGGAGTAGAAGTCCTGTGGTAACTGTGTTTTTGCTTTGAGAAAAGGGTAATTTTAGTTCTGAGTGCAGTTGACTCGTAGCGAAATATGTCACAGAGAAAGCAGGGGAAAAACTGATAAAGAGAGGAAAACTGTGCCCAAGAACTTTGGGGAAATTCCAGAGACGATGTAACAAAGCTTCCACACTGGCTTTCTCATCTTCTTGCTCTGTATTTCTGTTCTGACACTAACGAGCCTGTGCTAGGATAGAGTAAGGCAATTTTCAATCCCACATAACATATATTACATTATTTTCAAAAACATTGATGTTTCTTTGAAAGAGAATCCCATGCAAGAGAACTGTTCTCTGAAATTGTTTTCCCAGGACTAAGTCTGAATGTATATGGCTAGCTCACAGAGAGAATAATGGTGAAATGGCCAGGACCAACTTGCCTTCTCTGAAAAGAATACAATAGTGTACTGGAGTAAGTGATGCTGTTCAAAATATGATATATAAGCATCAAATGATAACCAAGAGCATGTATTAATCAAATTTGGGGTTTTGGCTCTGAACTGAATTTTTAGACTACAGAATTTCAGACTTCAAGTGGAAAGTGAACAAAGTGAGAGAAGCAAGACTAAGGTTGGGATTGTCACCTGTACCTCTCTGCTAAACGTGTTGTGGTTGGTACTGAGTAAAACCCACTCCTACAGCCTACTTTTAGTGGTGTATCTGGTGGCTTGGACCATTCTCTGTGGTCTATTGGCAGCTGGAAGGGAGAGACACTTTGGAGCAGCCTCTGCCTTTTTCCAGATGGTGCCAGAAATTCAGGAGCACTGTTGTCTGTCACTCCAAGAGAGGTAATAGTCATTTCAAAGCCAGGCTTACAGCCATCAGACACTGTAATTGTCAGTGACCATTGTGGCTGCTGTTAATAGGGGTGGCAGAGAAAATTGTTTCAGCCCTGCATGTTTATCAGCTTCCTTCCCGTGAAATCACAGGGCTCTCCATGGCGGCATTAGCAGTAGTATCAGCAGCAGCTGGCGGTGATTTTCATCCCTCTCTGGGGCCCACCCCACCCAAGGCACAGTGCAGAAGCCCGGTGATGCATGAATGAATCTGCAGGCAGCGATGTGCAACAGCAGCCAGCAGAGGAAAGAGGGGTTTTCCTCGGAGAATCCTCTCAGTCAGACGGAAAGTTCAGCTAATTGCAACTTAAAGTTCAAGCCTCTGCAACTGTTTGCTGCCTAAAGAAACCTGCTGTCATTTTTGGAGTCTGTGCATACAATTAAACATGTAATTGAATTCCCTTTTGTATGCACTGGATTTGGGACTTTCCAGTTCCTGTATAAGACAACACTGGCTGTGTTTTATAGTGCAGCAATCTTACTTCAGAACAGTAACCTTCAATTCTCATTGGGGAAAAAAAAAAGGAAGAAAAAGAAAGAAAACAGAAATAAATTGAATAATCAAATTTTGGTAATTACCAGCAGGTAGACTCCAGAAACAACACCGATTCAAAGTAAAAATCAGAGACCTGTATT